TGTTGTTTATATGCAGCGAAACTTCAGTATGTTATACTATTTGATATGAAGATGAATTTTTACTTAATAAGCAAATGTGGTTAGGTTAATAAAATTTTTATTTTTTTTCATGTTTCTTTGTTCAATTATTTCTGATGATCTGCAAGTGTCCTTATATTTATGACCAGTGAGTGTACATGTAAATCATTTCCGATTTATATGTTCGTTTCCCGTGATTGATAAGTTACTATTTTACAATATCACTTAATATTAAGAAAAAAACAAATATAACAAATGGGGGATTTTAATAATCACATTACTAAATTTTGATCCCTGAAATTTTTGGTAATATCAATGTTCACTTTGTCTGGTTTTGTTGCAGCATGCCCCAAATAACGTTAACGTTAATTTTAAATATGTTTTTGGACAAAACCGATAAATAATGATTTAAAAAGGCAACACTGACAGCGATTAGGTTTATCTTAACCAAAAATTAAAATTAAAATTTTGTCCTTAATTTTTATGTACTACCTATAAAATAACATTAGATGTTAAATAAAAATATTAAATTTATTAAGATTTTCACTTTTTTTTTTCTTTATTTTCTACAAAATCCATTCTTTTAGTTAGGTAATCCATTATTTAAACTATATCAAACCTATAGTTTTATAACTTGAATTTTATTATTGTAAAGTTATTTTTTTCAGAAAATGCAAGATCATAGAGGTTCATGAGACTATAGCCGATGTTTTCAATTTTGTCAAAATACAATTTCTTGTGCTACGTAATTTTTTTTTAAAATCTTCTTCACACACTCACGATTACTTATTATTGTACATTCAATTAAAAGAATGAACTTTATAGAATAGTAAAACGTCAAAGAATTGAAAGAATCGGAATTGGTTAAATTTAATGTATTATATTAATATTAAATTCACTTATTATAAAACTGACAAATCCATAGACATAATTTAATTATTTAATGTTATATGTTTTGTACAAATATTTAGAATGAATAATCATAGCAATAACAATAACAAATATATGTGTATGGAAGTGGGTTACGATGATCCTGATAAAGAATATGAAACCCTTGATGATGACACTTATACAGATAATTTTTCTATACCCACATCATCAACAATGACTTCTTTGATAAATACTGATCAAAATAGCTATTGTATTGATTTTAATGAGGAGTCATTAAGCAATGTAAAAAAATTTATTGAAAATTCCGAAGAATTTTTAGATAGAAAATGATATAGATTGGTTATCATCAGATTTTGATGTGCAATCTGATGTGGGTTCTTTGTGGACTTCAACCATTGACGAGTTTGAAGATTCTGTCCATATGTTAAGTGAAGAAAAAAAGACTATTAATGATAATGATAGATGTGTAATTGTTGATCTTGTGAATGGAAAGTTACAACGTTGTAAAAATACTATATTTCGTCCTCTTCATCAACTTTTGGGTATCTGGGAATTAGATTTTGATGAGGTTAATAAAGCCATCAAAGTGAACCAACCAGATGCGACAGCTCTGTTGGGTACATGCTCAAGTCACTACAGTTTTGATAATAAAAATCATTTATTACATTTAAAAAACAGTGTTCCTACTCATGACGCATGGATATATAAAAGACGTTGTTTGTTTTGTAATTATGATAAATTTTATTATAGTAGAGGAGATGGATGTACACAACATTCTAAGAGCGTTTTAGAACGAAATGTTCATGTACCATGTTGTGGTTTAAAAGTTTGTCCAGTTTTTGTCGAAAATATTTTTGTGGGTTCAACAAATGAAACATATCCATGATATATCTGCACATTATGTTTTGAATCCGAAGGGGGACACAATTACCAACAAAAAGGTAGAGGTGTGAAAGCATTACACACTTATATTGAAGACCACAATGAAGACAATTCCAAGTCTCTCAAGCTCTTTGGAGAATGTTTACAAAATATTTCAACATCATCCGATCAAATAATTAAAAATTTACTTCTTGAAGAGCTCTCAGTTTCACTTTCAAAATTTTTTAAAAGAAAACAATTGTTACAAACGCAACCAACTTCTATATCTGATGGTAAATCATTATTACTTAAACACCAATTTGATAAAATCCAAATAATTTTGCTTCATGAAGTTGAGGAGTCAGTAAGAAATCTTTTTATTTTTTTTTATTTGAAATTTATCATAATATAATTAATCATTGTAAATTTGTTAATTATAATTTAGAAAATTTTTATTTCAAGTGGTGAATGCTTTTTACAAAGCGAAATTCTTCATTAATACAATTAACATAACCCATGAAGAACAACTTAAAGATATCTTCTATCAATTGAGTATTAAAGGCATTTTTGCAGTTATCCTTATAAAAAAAGATAGCGCATTAAACCATAATGTAAATATGAAAATTTACAAACACCAGTATCAAGATACTACTAAATATGATGGTTAGTTTTTTGATTTAGTATCAATTATGTATGAATAGATTTATTTATTATTTCATATTAAATGTAATATATATCAATATACACATAGATTTTTTATTAATTTTGTATTAAATACATAAACATATATGTATTGAATAAATGATCTATTTAGAATATGATAACATTAGGTTTGAAGAGGCTGTTAAGTTGTTATCACAATTTCGTGAAAACTTATTAGATTCACCAAATTCAAATCCTCCAAACTTCTTAATATTCAAAACTGCTCTCAGACTTAGTAGAGTAAATCTGAAAAAATTGGGACACATAAACCAATATATTGAACTAATAAAAAACAACCCCAAAGAACTTGGGGAATCATTGGGAACTGTTATTTGGCATTCAAGACCTGAAATATGTGAAAAAAAAAAGAATTAGAGGACCCATAAAATCTAGATCAATATTGTAATGGATTTCCTATATACATACGTGAATTTTTTAATGGACTTCTAATTCTACTTCAACGAAAAAAATGGGAGATGGTTCAAAAAAAACGTAGGCAAAGATTATTGGATGAAATCCCTTTCGAAACAATGTGTCCAAAAAAAATATCCATCTTTTTAATATCTGTTTTGCATTCAGTTGCTTTTCCTGGTATTAACTTTTGGCTTAATTATGTGATGAGTTCTTTATGTAGGAGAAAAAAACTCCAAGAATCACTCTATGCGATGCTTTGTATGGCCAATGTAATCTCACATACCCAAAGACATGAAAGGAAATTAGCAATGAAAAGAGCAAATGAACTTGATATTTCTGGAAAATTAATTAGAAATAATGAGAATATATGGAATTTGTGTGTGATGGATAACATAGATTTTCAAGAAAAAACATTTGGTTATAATGATATATTGATGTTACCAGACGTACAACCCATTCTACATTGCGGATGGTTTTTCAATTCAAATTACCTCATCCTTTGTCAACAATAAGTTCAAATTCTGATCTTGTTTTAGGACATTCTTTTCACGTTGGTATGTCAACCTTTACTGAAAAAGAGATAGAACATTTCGAGAATACCTTTTCCTTACTATGGAATTTATATGGAAGAGATTTTGATGTTGCACAAGTTCAAGAAGAACTATGGAAAAATGTAGAAATAGGGTGTCTCATCGAACCACCCAATGTCATTATTTTGAAACCTGGTGAGGATCATAATAATACTATGAATATACATGCGGCAGCAAGAATATATTATGATGACATTGGTTTAGATAGTACTGGCCATTTAGATCTTTCAAGTGATGAGTCCATCTTTAGGAAGCTTAATAAGTTAAATGAATCAGAGACAGAAATTCGCCTCTTATTAGGTGCTTGGCACACATCAAAGGCAATGTGTGGTACTCTTCTAACAATATTTTCTGGATACGGCATCTATAATTTGGCTGCAAATTTAGGAGTTAGCTATTTGGAAAAATTGGAGAAAGTAGTTGATTATTCAGCTACCTGCCGAGTAATTGAACATATTTGGATTGGTGTAGGCGTTTCACTCCATTTATATGCCAGAAAAAAAAACATATCAATGAAGGATATTTTAGATTGTGACTATTATCTTCCGAAAATATGGTATTTGTTTTTTTTGTGGGCGGGCCTTTGGCTTGGTCATAAAACGGGAATCCGTTATGGAAATCATGATCTTCAGTTCCAAAATCTTTGCATTTGCACCACTTTTTCCGATTGCTGGTAAAAGCAATTATTCACAATCTGTTACACAATACATATACAATGTTCAAAAGGATTCTAATTTGCAAGGCATTCTTCAATATGTTTCTTCTGTTAATCTAACTTCTCCAGGTCATTATTTCGCCTTCGACGAAGCACTTGAGCGATTTGGTGTTATGTATATAAAACAAAATATTGGTTCAGCAATTTACTCTACAGACGATTTAGACTTGCAAATCAAATCTATCCAAGCGGAACGTGATCATTTAGATCTCTTACTTAGTGAATTTGTTGGTGATAAAATTAAAACTCCTACTAAACGTAACATAAAATCCCAAAAGGATGCACTATGGAAATTAATCACAGATTTGGAAAAAGCTTTTGAACATTCCAATAAATCAATATTGACTCCTGAGGTTCCTGAACTTTTCAAAGGTGCCATAGAATGTTCAAATCAAGGGTTTCAAAAATTATACAATAGTTATGATATTGGTATAAACAGATCAAATGATATTTTCAAACAAGACATTGAGAGGTCTGTTGTCCGGGATACAACTGGTCAGCATTCAAAAAATATTACCACAAACACAATCACACAACAAAAAAAACAATCACAGCAAAAAAAATTATTGCAACAAATAAAATCACAAAAAAAAGGTAAAAATAATAATGAATGTGAGTATAAAGATGAGTACAAAAAATATACTGGAGAGTGTAAAACACAATGATGGATAAAACATCATTACTTTGCTTGTATGTAGATATTAATATATAATAAATACATGATAAATAATATTTTTGCAATATATATGATTTTCATAATGTGTTGGGTTTTTATGTACTACTATATAAATCAATAAAATCTTCACAAACTTATTAATTAAAAGAATCGGAAATGCTTAAATTTAATGTATTATATTCACTTATTACAAAACTGACAAATACAAAGCCATAATTATTTAATAATACTTAGAATGAATAACAATAACAAATATACACACATGTATGGAAACAATGGATTATATATCTATATAAATAGATTTATTTATTTTGTATTGAATACATTTTTTTGTGAACCAAGCTTGTGTGGGATTTTATAGATGACCATCACTATGTAATTTATTATCATTTTTTTTGTAACAAACATTTTTTAGATAGTATGTTCTAAGTTTTGATATCATAAATAACAAAAATTCACAGCTAATTTTAAAGGTTCTTTTATTTTAAACTCAAGTTGACATTTTGAAGAAAATTGCTTAGTAACATATATAAAGCAAAATTTTTTAGTGGATATATATATTAAAATATTGATAAAGAAAATATTTTATTATTATAAATTACTTTTTTTCGACTTTTTTGTGGCTTGTTTTATTAATTATTATTATCGAAGTTAGCATAATGGACACTCATTTTGTGCAACAGTCATTTGTATAATAGTCAGGCGGTTACACAGAGCCCGTTGCTTCTGAAACTTCACTAGAATATAGCTGTAGCCTCTCTAAGTCCAGATCATCAGCAAGATCAAAATTATCTCACACTTTTATAATCAAACTTTTGCAAGAACTTTCACCATAACATATGTTATGTTGATCATTTTTTTGTGATCTGCAACAGTGTCCACTATGCTATCGAAGTTATTAGTAATATGCATTAGGTGTGACATATCCAGTGACCGTTATACGATAAAATATATTTAAAAAATAAATGAAACTAAACTATTTACAATTTGCACACTTATTCAATATTAAAAGGGCAATCTAGCGTGGATTGTTGTCGTGAGTTAAAATCAATTTTTTTAAAAGACTTTTCAATAATTTAAAATCATCCTCATTTAATTCTGATTGTTGGTCAAGTAAAATATGGTCTTATATAGTTTTGAAATGTTTATGAAGTCATAAGGAAGTTGGCATTTCTTATGTCATGTTTACAAATAATTATTATTGCAAAACTCATGAATTAACATTAAAGTTATAGAGTAAGTAATTCATAATGACATTCTTCTTTTTTATGATCCTTCAAATACGAATAATATATTGTAACTGCAAAGGATGATGATAGATATGAAGTAAGGTTGACAAATGTATTTATGTTTACAATAATAAATGTAAGCGCGTTCGAATTATTAATAATTGAGCGTGATACTGAATTCTTAATTTGGTAATGATTACCCCAGATCATGATCGTCGGCCGTTATAAAACATGAGAGCCAGGCCGTTATACATTATAAGGTTTTTATATAGTAAAAATTTGGGTTCTGATTCCCAATGCGTTATAGAATGGAGGCCGTTATAGAAAGGGCCGTTATAGAGAGTGTGAACTGTATATTCTGTACCACCAATTATCCTGCAAAAATTTTCAACACTCAATTAACCGGATTATTGGTGAAATTTGTTTGTTCAATAAAAATTGGAACCATAAATAGCAGTTAACTTTCCTCATATAAAATTCATTATAATTATAATGTGCAACATCTAATATAACAAGATCCATTATAACAAGAAGTTGTCATATAAACTTGAACTCCATTATTGAAGTAAAGTGAAACTATATCATTAAAGCTTTCTAATTAATATTTTTTTATGCTGAAGGGAGCTTTCCAAGTAAAAAATCACAGCTATTCAAAATGTGAATACACTTTCACCTCAAAGCTTTCAATTTTACTTTCAATATCCTAAAGGCTAGGGTTGTTTGTTGATGAAGTTCAAAGAATATAGCAATAAACATATAATAAATTTCAGGTTATTTTCCATTTTATTAATAAACACCTCAATTTTTTTAAAAAAGTACAAAAATATATTATGAAGAATCTATGTCTCAAATTTGGTGGGAATAATTGCACAAAATCATGGATGACTTGGCTTTGACTTGACTTAGGTAAATTTTGAACATATACTTTGAATTTATTTAAACCATATCTGAGCTCTCGGGTTTCTTAAAATACCATGTTATTTTAGCTGCTTTACAAGCCCACTAAAAATAATCAATAATTTAAATTATAAAGTTATCAGAAAATGTAAACCTTCTGTGCCTCAATAATTTTTTCCTTTGTCACTTTTGACCTGTGATAGTTTATTAACCTGTCATTCATTCATCTTATTAATAAAAGTATAAAGAAAGGATTTTTAGTTTTCTAAAACAAAAAAAAAACCAATACTCACATATTTGAAAACTTGTTGTATTTATATTTTCCCTTTTCCCTTAAGATTTTCATGATAATAAAATTCTGTCATTACAAACAGAAATCAATTATTTTTTTAAACAGAAAAATTGAACTAAATTGTCATCAGAAAATTCCTTCATATCTAATATTTTTGATAATAAAATAGGATCATTTTTCATCGTGTCCATATTATTTTTTTGTATGTCTAAAATTAGACACCCCGATTTCCAACGATAATCTAAAATAATGACCCCAAAAAAATTTTTATAAAAAAAGTAAAATTATAATTCAAAAAATAATAATGGGTAGAAATCTAACCGATATTAATAATAAAAATAACAACAATGCTGATACTAGCAGCAGTAGTTCAAGCGATGAATCATCTGAAAATGACATTGATTCAAAAATAAAAAAGTCAGGCTATAAAAAAAGAATAACGAAAGAGTCTAGCAGCAGTGATGAAGAAAGTTCAAGCGATGAGTCTTCTGATTCTGATTCAAAAAAAAAAATTTCAGGTAAGAAAAGAATTGGCGGAACTAATGAATCTACTACCAGTAGTGACGAAGAAAGTTCATCAGAAAGTGGATCCGACTCTGATTCAGAAACAAAAAAAAAGGTTGCTATCAGTAGTGACGAAGAAAATTCATCAGAAAGTGGTTCCGACTCTGATTCAAAAATAAAAAAAGAAGTTAGTAGCAGTAATGACGAAGAAAGCTCATTAGAAAGTGATTCTGACTCTGATTCAAAAATAAAAAAAGAAGTTAATAGCAATAGTGAAGATGAAAGTTTGGACGATGATTCATCAGAAAGTGATTCTGATTCGATAAAAGAATCACCTAGGAAAATAACTGGTGTAACTAAAGCCATAACAAAGGAACCTAACAGTAGTAGTGATGAAGAAAGTTCAAGTGATGATTCGTCAGAAAATGATTCTGATTCAAAAATAAGAGCCGATAAAGGAACTAAAACCACAGCAAAAGAATCCAGTAGCGGTAGCGACGAGGAAAGTTCGGATAATGACTCATCAGAAAGTGATTCTGATTCTGATTCAAAAATCAAAAAATCAGCTGACAAAAAAATTGATGGAACTAAAGTTACAAAAAAAGAATCCAGTAGCGGTAGTGACGAGGAAAGTTCGGATAATGATTCATCAGAAAGTGATTCTGATTCTGATTCAAAAATCAAAAAATCAGCTGACAAAAAAATTGATGGAACTAAAATTACAAAAAAAGAACCCAGTAACGGTAGTGACGAGGAAAGTTCGGATAATGTTTCATCAGAAAGTGATTCTAATTCTGATTCAAAAATCAAAAAATCAGCTGATAAAGATATTGGTGGAACTAAAATTACAAAAGAAGAATCCAGTAGCAATAGTGACGAAGAAAGTTCAGATGATGATTCATCAGAAAGCGATTCTGATACAAAAATATCAACTACTACTGCAAATAATAAAAAGAGGACAAAAGAATCTTCTAGTAGTAGTAACAGTAGCGAAGAGGAAAGTTCGGATGAAGGTGATTCTGATACAAAAGCTAAAAAGTCTGTTAATGCTAATAAAGGAAATGGAACAATAAATACGAAGAGAATAAAGGTTTCTTCTGGTAATGATAAGAAGAGGATTAAAAAAGAATCTGATTCGGGCGATTCTTCAGAAAGTGAATCCGATTCTTCGGAAGATCCTACTTCTGATAAAATTAAAAAAAAAATTAAAAAATCAAGTAGTGATGATGACAATGATGATGACGACGACGACGATGATGACGATGAAAGTGAAAAAGAAACCATATTGGTGAAAAAAATCGAACCTTCAAATATTAAATTAACACCTCAGGCCATTAAACGGAGAATAAACGATGACTTCACTAATTCAATTAAGAAGCCAAAAGTTGAATCAGAATGTAAAACAGTATATGTTGGAAATTTACCATTTAGTATTGACGAGGAAACATTACGTAAGAAAATGCAAGAGGCTGGTAAAGTTATAGATGCTCGAATAATATATGACAAATTCTCAAACGAACCAAAAGGGTAATCGAATCTCTGGGTTGTTTTTTTTTTTAAAAATTATTTTAATACATTATTATTTATTTTATTTCCGTTTTAATACTTGCTATTGTAGATATGCTTATGTTGACTATGCTACTGCTGAAGACACTCAAAATGCCTTAAAATTATCAGGAAAGGATATCAACGGGAGAGCAATATCTGTTTGTCTTGATCAAAAAACCAATAACAACAACAACAACAACAACAACAACAACAACAAATATAATAATTTTTCTGATCAGAAGCCGGGTGGCTCAGCCTTTAATAATAGAAATAAAGAACCTAGCGATACAATTTTTATTGGAAATTTATCTTTTAATGCTAATGAAAATCAAATTGATCAAATTTTCAA